GCTCCGGTTCCTAAATCAGGCACTGACTATAAGAGACTAACTTAAGAGAACTGTGTTATGATAACTCTGACCCCTAAGTGTACGTGCACTTGATAATCTTATGAAAAGATGACCAAGTTTGTGTTTAGAGGGCACGAAATTCGTTGATTTGTGGTGCGAATTTTGTTCGCCACAAGCGGTGGGTGTATGTATGAACCAAACATTAAAAGTCCGTAAAAATCTGTTGGATTAATATGTATTCAATAAGTCAGCCAGCTACAAGGTTGAACCAGGCACATATATGCATCGATCGAAGTTGCTATACCTCATTAGCACAACAAGGTGAATACCAAATTCATAGTAGTCACTTCAATAGTAACAATATATAAAAGAAAGATTGTGTATAAGGATATAGTACAGGAAGAAAGAATTAGTCCGTAGAAAGAAAGTTATACAGTAATTTTGATCTCACAGTTCAAGGGAAGACAAATAGTGTATACACCGACGCCATTGTGATCGATTCTGAGCCATGTCACCAAGAGTCTCCAACCATTGGTTACGATAGTCACGTGGACCACAACCAAGTAGTCTGCATCTACTAACATAGCTCGGACTAGAAGTTAGTGACTTCACAGACTGGTGCCACGTTATCCTTCGGCCGCCCCTAACTTTGTTCCAACTTCCTCCAACACTAGTCAGCATTGCGCGTCGTGGTAATCGGTGGTCGAGCATACGTAACACGTAGCCCAAGCATCTCAGTCATTGAAGATTCGCAACCTCATCAACTGATTAACCAGCTTCATGTACTTCGCTTTGGGCAGACAAGTAGTATGTTAACCCTCAAACAACTAAAGTTTGGCTCAGTGGAATCGCATCTTAAGTCTATCGTGATATTAAGGAGGGCTTACTTCAATAGTGGAGCGCAAAAGGCCATACATCGGGGTGGATTAAAGTGTTTAAAAGTTTTAAATTTATTCAATATGCCCTTCCTCTATACGGCTAATCACAAAGGTAAGTTTTTCAAAACATTCTATTTACAATAGTTTAGACAAGCGATTGGGTGTAGATATTAACCCTTTATTCATGTTGAGACGATGAAGGGATTATGTGCAGTTACACGATAATCGAAGAATCACAATCGCTACCTACTTAGCATTTATATTTTCGTGTTACATAAAGTATTAACAAGAGTCCAGTCACGTATTTTGCGCTTTTCACAGCAACATCTGCGTACTTACTACTTTACGGAATGGGTGTCATTTATAGTATACATAATATTCAGTTAACCTGTTTAAGAATTAGTATGAGATTATGAAGCAATAGACTTTACATAATGTATCTTTTCACTTATGATTAATTTTTTTTGATGGAGTTTTGGTCGTGAAACTTTCATCGTTCTTCTGAACGACATCATCAGCACAAACTTCAGATAGTTCCACGACCAAAACATCCTGTTCAGAGAACAAAATTCCATCAAAATCATCCACCTGAGCTACAAATCCGTCTGTAAGCTGGTGTAAGAATTATGATTTAGAATTTTATGATAGGGTATTATGTAAAGAAAGCTCAAAACACATACCAAAAGTTTCAACCATGATTGACTCCAAATTATCCAACAGCGCCGTCATTTATTCTATGTGAACATCCGTCGAAATTTAAATGATTAATTTGAAAGAAACTGTACACAGGGTATATGCAATACATCACCTGAAAAAACTTTGAGATCTGAGTGATTGAAATTTAGTTAATTCCAACATTTCACCTTGCGAACTGACAAAGCTCGGACCCGTTTGCAAGAGTTGGAATTACTTAAATTTCAATTGCCGAAACTTAAAACATGATTTTTACGTATAATGCACTGATTTAATCTGTTTAAAAAGTACTTGAGAAATATTTGATGAATTACAGATTGATTGAGTCTTTAAAATTAACGTGTCAACTCCAAGGTTAAAATGGTCATAGAAGACCTTCATTACACGTATTCCCAGCAATTTTGTCCTTCGTGCTCTTTTACAAAGCTAAACTAACTTTTGTTCAACAAATTAATGACGTCCACGATATTAAGAAACAATGGATTAGGTTTTATTTAATACTAGTTAGGTAAGAAAGTGGAACTTACTACGATTCTTATTATTAATTAACATGATTGCTATTTATTTCAGTCTAGACAGCACGCAGATTTATGCTTGACGAGCATAAACACTTAAATAGTTTGGTTTCCTAATCATATTTTATGGTAATAATAGTAATAACAGTAGTAACTATAATAATTTTCGGAATTTTCATCTTACTAACTAAACAAAAAGCAATACTTGATTATACTTCCGTTTGCTGAAATTTTCTCCAATTATTTATATATTTAAATAATTTTAAATGTGTAACTTATTAAATACAGTGAACTAAAGGTAATTTGAAATTTTACAAATATTACAATTGCAAGGTTCCTAGAATACTAGTAAAATTCATCTGTTTATGGCTTATAATAGATCTCTCCTCTCTTATAAACCTTCAGCTCGTATTCTCAACGGGATTTATTTATATGTGTCGCTGATATAATTTGAAACGTTCATAACTGCTTACAAATATATCACCTACTAGTCTATTGAAAGATGATTTGTAATTATTCGATTTAATTCCTGTCATCATCATCTGACATCGAATAATTTTCTTTACTATTTTTATGTAGTGTCACGTAGTTTCTCATATCAGTTATTTTGATTTAATTTATCCGTGTATTCGCTTTTTTGTAGAACACTGGTTTGTAGTGTGATACATAGATAAATCAGTTAACCATATCCAGTTTATTTAAATAAGCCAGAGGTTTCCGTATAAATCGGTTGAATACATAGTTTGTAAGTATTCAATCTGTCATTACTACGTCTACAGGTAATCGATTATTATTATTATCATCATTAGGATACCTGACCTTTAGACTACTGAACTGGCATCCAATGTCTAACTTAAGTCAATTTATTATAAAAGAAGTAGATGTGAGCTTGTTTTATGTATTATCGTCCTTTCACTAAAAATAATTGATAGTAATTTAGTTCAGGTATCTTTGCATTTCCTGTCACTTATATCCGTACTCCATTCCCTATAAAACCATTTAAAAAATTTTCAGCCATTTTTTATTCTCACTTTTATTAATATGCACCCCTTTGGTGCGCGCTCTTGATTTATGATACTTTGTTAGATAATATACTAGTGGAGTCATCTTGCTGTGATACTGAATAGCTTTATTTTTGACTGAATTTTGTGAATATCCTCAGTTTTTAATCACACCCCTCTGCAACGCGTCCTTTTTAGAGGATACTAGCAAAATAGAAATCTCAAGGATGATAACTAGTTGCGGTTCGTTTCGTAAAAATGGCGGTAAAATATAAGCATACTGAATTTAAATAATTGTTATGTATATTCTCATCGGATTTCGCATGTTTTCTGATCCTGGATAGATGTAATACTCACTACTTGTTAAATCTCATTTTCCAGGAAGAGGAAGCATCTTAAATACGAACTCTCAATGGTAGGTTATAAAAAATTGTTTATAGAAAATGTTTTTGTGGTATTACGATTTAGTATTTATTGGTTTAGTTGTTTATATCTATATCGTATTTTATTGAACATTATCTATGAATTTAGCTGATCTTTTATGTATTGAAACTACAAGCTATTTATTTATTTATGTGAACATATAAATATTGGTACAAGAGGGCACCAAATATATATGCGTTACACAAAACAATGATAATTCGAAGAGAAATAAAAGAACAATAACGAACGGATTAGTATAAGGTAGTGTTATAATAATAATAGTAATCATGGGGGAAACGGAAAAGTACAATCAGAAGAAATCTTTCAGTTAAGGAAGATGCAACCACTTTTTGTTTTTTATGAAGAAAGTAAAAGAAGTAGGTATCATTACCAAGGTTGGATTTGATAATTTCGAATAAATTGAGCATTGGGTTGAATGTTATAAATAAAAATAATATATTTGTAATATCATAATGAGTAGAAAATTAGATTTTCTGACGTTTTGTGACTTAGTGTAAGTCACTTCTTCAGAGAATAAATAACCAAATTAAAATTAATCCAAGTTTAAATAGCACAACGGAACAATGCATTCTCTGGGACGACATTCGTAGAACATGTCCAAGCCACCGAAGTCGGTGTTTCAAGATGGTGACATCGATTGCATTATCATCATCACACGATGCCGAACCTCTGCATTACTGACATGGTGTTGCCACTGGATGTCAGCAATCCTTCGGAGACAACGATGATCGAACACAGAGAGTCGTCTAACATCCTCAACTCGGAGAGGCCAGGTTTCACAAGCATAGGGCAAAAGTGCTCTCACCGACGCGTTGTAGATCCGACCTTTTACAGCCAGACTGAAATCACGAAGGCGCCAAAGGTGGCCCGGATTGGCATAAGCCGCTCTGGCTTTCCCTATATGTGCAATGATCTCATCACTCACGCCACCACCAGCACTTATGCAGCTCAGAACGTTTCAATATAATGAAAATTCCCATTTTGCCCTTCTTTATTTAGCAAATGGCAAAATGGGAATTTTCACTTATGCAGCTACCTAGATACACGAACTTCTTGACTACTTCTATCTGTTCACCATCCAGGGTGAGCACTTAATCAGTTGGCAATCAGTGTCCGTAGGTATGGTATGTGCTTTGCACCTTTGAAGTGCAAAGTACTTCTACAAGACTGGCAAGATCCTAATCCTGTACTACAAGCTAGGTACTTGTTGTTCGTGTTTCCGTGTTTTACTTTCTATCACAACTTGTGGAATTTGATTAGTTTAATTCAAACCGTATTTCGCTACTGTCTGGGATGTATGAAATTAATTTTAGATTTTCACCTTATTATTACGAACTCATATTTTCGTAACGTATAGCTGTCAATAGATTTGTGTAACCTGTTTGTGGGCGTTTTGGGGAGCATAAATAAAAATATGTAAGTTTGTTAGTAATAATGGTAGTCTAGCCAGTCACACCGAACTTCTGGAATGAAGACGAACAATGTGAATTCAACTCAGTTTGTTGTTCGGAGTTATGAAGAAAGTGAACAAAGTCTCGGTTTCATTGGATATCGATACTGAACCTAGTCGTACGACTGTTACTAATTTTAAATCCCTTTATATATATGAGATAGCATTTTCGCATATGTTTGTTATGAAACATAATACAAATATGAGTGGTACTCAGTCAGCTATCATCATTTATCATTTGCAATTAAGTCGTGAATTGAACAGACAGACATAACCTAGTATGCGCATTTTATTCGGTGAAAAATTTACAAACCAAGAAGCAAAGATAGATGATACCTAATTTTTCTATAGACCTTTAATTATGCTATTATGTTAGTAAAATCCGAAGAGATAAACTATAGTAAGTGTAAAGTTCCATCAAACTTCAAATTCCAGCCGTATACGTTATTTCAAATCTATTGTACATTGCTTGCATCATACTTTTATTAATACAACCATCGTATACGTTGACATAGTTTCCTATAATCATCACAACAAGTGGCACTCTGCGCGTTCGAATTCAAGTTCAATGTCCCGGATACTTCAGAGAATTTCTCGTACGTACACATTATACTATTCTAAGGGGTGATTATGGTCATATCATATGGGCACACGAAACGTCAACAAAGAACCAGTCTTTTGTGAACTATTTGAACCTGATGTTTAAAGATTTTGGATATGTGATCGTGAAGATTGCATCTGAAGGTCCTTATCCTGGAAAATCTGACTTCGTTATTAACTGGTGAGGAGCAGGGTCATACGCATTAAGGGTTATTGAGCATTACCTAAGCGTTCACTCCATATTTCCCAGTTGTGTATGTGGAAACTCAACTGAGTAAATCCTATTCCCGCTATTCGTCGGAAGAAGTCGTCACCTAATGTCATTAAAATTTAGGCAGAGTAGCGTCATATCGCATATATCAAGGTGTGTATATATTTTGAACATTGGGATATCGTGACTTGTTCCGATTTCGGAGATCAAAACATGTAACGGCAGATTTGACTAACAAACTGATAACTTGTGCATGCATACATATTACTGATGTATGGGGAAGCCTAACACATTTAATTCAACGAAGAGTTAGCGACCTATAAAATTGATGTCAACGTATCGTTCATGATATTTAATTACATTATTTCCAGGTTGGTAATTCTAACCTATGTTATTTTATTATAAGAGAAACCCATTCTTCTGTCTAGTGATCATGCCTCTTATACGAGTTCATTGGAGAGTTTGAGCCAATTGTCCGGTCTCGGTAGTTTTCATTTTAGCACATTGCATAATTGAATATCATCCATCTATCAAAATTCTTCTCTTTCATTTCAAAAGTTGAATATTTGCCCATCAATTCATAAAACCTATTTCATACCAATTATATTATTTAGTACTGGTGTTATACTCATTTGTTTTAATCAAAAAGACATGTTTTATTAATCATAATCAGTCCGATGGATAGCGAAGATTCATATGATGAAAGTTCTATCTCGACCAGTGAATCAAGTTTTTCGACATGTAATTCATCAGATTCTTCCGACTTTACTGAACAACAATTTCAACACAGAAACAGGTTGAAAGGTCCTATAATAAAGTCATTCCCTGTAAGAAGAACAAAGCTCAATGTGTGTGTAAGTTAAACTTCAACTGTTTATTAATTTTTGAAATAATTCTGTATATCTGTCAGCATCATATTCACAAGATTTATCTTGACATTCAACTGATTAACCACCAGGCTTTGAGCTAACACCTACCTAATTGGATTATGTTTGAATGGTTAACCTTATATGTTCAGTTAGTTATCATCAACACACAGCCTAACCAAGATGTACGCTGATCTAAGTTATCATACTACACTAGAACGATGGAATGAAAATAACAAGCGAAGTCGAATTTGAAACGATATATTAGCAATGATAATTAGTACGACTGAACATTTGGAAGATAGTTCGAAAAAATGGAGCGGAAATGTATGTAAGAAGGAAAACTGGAGTTAAGGATCACGATAAGTATAAAGAGTTACCGCCCATACGCTACTGTGAATAATTCTGAGCCTTAGGCGAAGTTTTGTTCTCTGAGTTGGTTGGTTCGACCATGGGACTTTCATTGTTCTTCTGAACAACATCATGAGCACAAACTTCAGGTAGAAATCTACCTGAATCATCCACTTGAGCTACAAATCTTCTCGACCATCTTATAATTCTGAGCCATTTCACGCAGTTTCTAAACGCTGATAGCGGTTATCGTACTGCTTTCAACCAGTAATTCTACATCTACCAACATTACTCAGAACATCAGTCAATGACTTTCCGTTATATGAAAAATATAATAATAATGTTTAAACCATTGAACTCATGCTTAATGCTGAGTTCGTGGACGAAATCTCAAAACATTAATAGTATGGATCTCATCTTCACTCGTCAAAATAAACTGGATTTGATTAGACTTAGTTGCGGAACAAAGTGGCTTCAGTTACGGCTTTTTTGCAACCTTTTCTTTGTTTATTCAAAAGTACTAAATTAATAGATTCCTATATATTCCAAAATGGTTCTACTGATTATTACATTAATTTGTTTTCAGTATTTCAAGTAGACAATTTTTCCTGTAAAATGATCAAGTTTAAAGAGCACTTCTTTGAAATCATCCATAAGATTAATCATAAATATTTATTAATCAAGTACATTTAATTGTCTATCTTATTATAATTACGTTGATTACACGCGTATTTGTGTGTGTTCATTAAGTATCCAGTATTCGTATCATGATAATAGGATACCTCTGAATGATACATATTGTCTTTATTGTAGGCCAATAAAGGCTCTGTATCGGCCCATAGGAAGCGCACTCTTAGTCAGGTGTCCCGTGGTGAGTCTTTTCTTAATTTAAGGTAAGTCAAACTTTTGAATTATCAAGTATAGCTCATAGTTTTTCCGTTGAGTTGATTATCCACACCGAATTTGTTAACTTGTTAATTCTAAGATTACTTGACTATAAGTTTGTTACTGTTAACTAATAATATTATTAATAATACACCAATAATAATATTCTTGCAAACTAAGCAGTAAAGCAAGTTATTTATGTAACTACTTATTTTATGATCATAGTTTTTACAATAATGCATTTTCTAGTCAAAGGCATATTCAATCAATATTTCATTTTTTATATAGTTCTACGAATTCGGAATATGGATGGTTACCTGGTCGTGAACAAGAATTTGAAAATATTTATACATTCATACTCAATAAACTGTCTCAAAATTCTGGCGGGTATATTTTTTATAGTTTTGTATTTTATGTGTAATACTATTTATTTTCACTATTGTACCTTTCGGATAAAAATTTTCTTAGAAAATGAATTAAATAAATGTAGAAAGCGGTTTAGTTCACTGATATAGACGTTTAAGTTCTTAACGATATCTGGTCATGACCTCAAACTCATTACGTTTCTATAAATAAGCGGAGAATATCCATATTCTGCTACTAATACTTCTAAACAAATTAATATAACTTCTGCTTAATGTACTTTTCTTTGTAACAGTAGTATAAACATAATAAATCTAATTTTACTTTTCACAACTTTGCAATTAACACAGGCTAATACATTCCGACTTCTATGTGAGCTACCGCTATATCTGTTTATCTGTGAATGTAATATTATTTGTATTATTCCCATACGTGAAGTGGGAGCGTTCTTTGTTAATAATTCTTTTCGAACTTTGTTGACATGTATATCATGTTTCTTTTTGATATAATTTCGTTAAAGCTGTATGTATATATCTGGTATTCCGGGTACTGGTAAAACAGCATCAGTTCAAGCGGTGCTGTCAACAATGCATAAATTGGTTGCTGATTCAGGTTTGGAAAGCCAAATACCCACATTCCAAGTAATCTATGTTAATGGCATGCGTGTCAGTGATCCTAAGCAGGTTTACGTGGAGATATATGAAGTAAGGTACATTGTGTTCTAAACATTAACATGGAAATATTTTCTTTAACATTGTAAATTTTCCACCCATCGAAACTTATTAAATTAGTCCATATGTCAATTAATTTACCTTAGTTGCTGAAGTTCGAAATTTTTGTGACATACTACGATCAAAATGTATAAACTGCCCGTACGTCGGTTAATCGAGTGATTGGATTGTTCCGTTCAATGTTCAGATATTCTTGTGATCACCAACTTTGCTATTTTAGTGTTAGTATTTTGGAGAATGACAGCTATCTGCCTGATCCATTCTTGACCCTGTACATCCATACGTGGAATTCAGAAATAAAAGTGAGTTTCTCAAAACGACACAGAACAATGGGATATCGCATAGGTCTAACTCAAATTGGAGTCAGTTAAGAAGTAGCTACCCCTGTCCTCCACCACGTCTTAATAATATCCTTAATAACCTGTATGCTTTTTTAGTCATTCATGGTACAATTGTGCTTCCGTATGGCTAAGTTATAGCTATAGAGTTTCTTTGTCTACGACTTAGTGTTTGCATGTGAATTTGTTAGCGTTATTTCAGGGCAACACAAATCATATATCATACGTTTTAATCACTGATAACGGTTACAGATCTGTGTGGAAGCAATCAGGTTATCAGCACGTAATAAAGAAAGAAAATTACCACCAATGGTGAACAATAGAGCCGTGAACAAGTTATCCTTGCTTACTACCCACGCCATACTGTAGTGAACGAAGACTTGGTGGGGATAACCAATTTATTGTTTCATACAGATTACAGAAAGTTTTCGTGAAATATGAAAACCATACATTAAATACTTCATTTGCACATCTTCCATCAATTATTTCTTACAAACTTCATCGTTTTTTATTCCTGTTGTTATTACAATTACTCTCTGTTTACATTCCTGTTTTCTTCGAATCGATCTTCTCAAAATTCTGCTGTCAGTCGTTCCACTTCTGGTTGGTGTTACATACTACTTATGTCTGTCAATAGAAGTACCATACACAACAATACTAGTTAATATCCTGAACTCTCTGACAAAGCAGAATAACTAATTTTGCACTAACATAAAGTTCAAGGGACATCTAGTGAAAAATCGGCTTTTGAAAATTGGTAGTTTCGTTTGCTTCTAACAAAACTTTACAACCTGAGATGAGGATTAATAGCAATATCCAGAACCTTGGGGGTCGACCATCTCCTTCGGTTTTCCAGGCTAGAGAGATAGCATAAGCCAAATATATTGACCACTTTAGGAGGACATTGCTAATGTTACATTCCTATTTTGAACTCAAACTGTCGTCATGACGATAGCTTGTGTATTGTTTTCCATTTTTTGATCTACTCTGTCATGATGGAACCTTAAGAAAACAAAAATTACAACCAACATAGATCATCATCTGTCTGTGATAGGCGAACACAAGCATCACGTTAGGATATTTATATATGTTTCAAACTCGTTATTAGTTTGGTATTATTTTAATTTCTTGTGAGCTGTATGTTAACTAGCATAAGCATTGACCAAGATAACTTATGTTTGTAATTAGGTGTATATTTATTTTCAGTATGGGGTTGTAGAGGTTTTTGAATCCGATCAAAATCATGGACCGATCAATGTTAGAACACAATTGGAAACCTGGAAGGACTAGGCGGCCTTTTCGTTATAGTATGGGACTCCTCAGAAGTGCGCATCCACGATCCCACACGTGGGACTCGAACCCAGGACCTTCGGTCTCGCGCGAACGCCTAATATACAGACCATTGAGTTGTCCTCCAGCGGTGTTAATGTTTAGCATCACCCAATTCACGGTATTGCGCGACTACCTATTGTCTTCGGTGGGTAGTTGTCTTACACCCAACACAGTTGGACTCCACTAAAAGTTAGGCATTTGCTGGAGACTGAAGGTTCTGGGTTAGTCTCACGGGCATTTTTGTTGGAAAATTAAGAGAAAATAAGTAACGTAAGCAGTGATCTAATTTTATTGTAGAAGCAGTAGCTTAATAGTTAAGGCGTTCAACTTTCAACCATTAAGTCTCAAATTTGAAACTTGCTGCTCCTACCTCATTTTATGTAACTAGGTAGTAAATATCATGGCGCACACCCAAGTTCCTGATGAATAAATTAATTATATTTATGTATTATTTGACTTTTTCGTCGAGATGGTAAGCGAGAGCAAACCGTCGTTAAGTGGTATTATTTAGTTACTGTACAGTCGTTCGAACTTGTTTACTGTAATGTAATGAATGAAGATTCGGTTTAGTATAAACCAATTTACTGTATTATGCAAAATCACACACTGTATTTGTAAAATATGAGGACAATACATTAAATACACTATTTATCCATCTTCATTGGATTGTCCCGTACAGACTTCATCGTTCTTTTGTTCCTGCTTCATTTCGATCGCTTTCTGTTTTCTTTTGTCTTCTCTCCATTTTCCCCTTTTGTTCGTAGGAAATCTGCCTTCGATTCCTGATATACACTACTTATATCTGTCAGTACAAGTAGTATACACCACAATATGATAATACAAAACGTAAAGATTCATTTTAATAAGACTGTTAATAGAAAAAAAAGAATAAATCAGTTACATCTCAACATACTCATGTACAGTTGTGTGACTCTTCCATTTTATCTGGAATAGAATTGCTTGCTATGATTGTTCTGTATATCACCAGCACATCTGACCCTAGTACACTTTGATTTCTGTATCTTTTTTAGCAACTAACTGGTTTAACTGCAACTGCAAAATGTGCTTCTGACTTGTTAGAAAAAGAATTTTGTCATAATGTAATTAAAAAAGTATCTCATAGTAAAGTTTCTGAAAAGCCAGTTGTTTTAGTCATTGATGAATTGGATTTGTTATGTACTCGTCGACAAGACATACTCTACAGTCTTTTTGATTGGCCTACACGCCATAACAACCATCGTGTTTTAATAGTATTGGCTATTGCCAATACCATGGATTTACCGGAACGTTTACTTCATCCACGAGTAGCCAGTCGTTTAGGCTTAACTAGACTTACTTTCGCACCTTATTCTCACGAACAACTTGCTCAAATTGTGCGACATCATTTATCGTCTTTATCAAATATGTTTCAGGTAAGTGTTTTTTACTTGATAACTTTATTTTTAGAGCTCCCTTATATTTTCCTATACACAGTTATGCTTAACTCAGTTTTTCGGAAATGCACCATACCCTTTCCAGTGTAAAGGTTGTCAGAAATGATTCATTTCAAATATCTGTTTCACTATTGTTACTCGAATTTATAAATTTAAATAGTTAAGTAGATGGATTAATTTCATTAACTTAGTTTTACTTTTTATTCATTTACCTTCATTGATCACCACTACCGCCTCATTCATCATGTTGACATCAACCATATAAATTATTTATTTTAGTTATAACCTTTTTCATTATTTGTTAGACGAATATCTTGTGGTCATTTGTATTTGTTTATTTTATTTATATAAACACATAAACATTGGTACAAGGAGGCACCAAATATGTATGCGCCACACAAATCGTTCGATTTATATGATGGCTGGAATACTACTCGGGTGCCCAAAACGAAGCAAGTGGTTTTCTTAGGAGGTCACTCCGGTTCCTTTGTTTTAGAGGTCCATTCCAAAAGACAGTGGAGCAACGTTAGGAGATGCAGTTCCATGGTAGCCGGTGACCAACAGTAGGTTCATACGCTATTTGTTCCCTCAGGATGCTGGAGACCATGTGCACCATTGCTTTGGAATCAGGGTTTTCCAACTCCTCTAGGTGGATCCTCCATATCTACCAATCCGGTTAATGGGTCGAACATTCGCTTTTCGTCCTCTCAATTTCGTAAACAACACTCCCATCACGAGTATGCAGTGAGTAAGACTTCCCTGACAGTGGCTGTATACGCATGGTCTTATGAGAGTATTCGGAGAGCGGACTCTTTTCACCCTCGGTCATACCAGGGGCTGTAGTCATCTTAAATTGAAGTGACAATGTGTATCTACACGTGCTGTGCGTTAAGTAGTGTGCCTGTATTTACAAACCCTCTTGTTAAATTCTTATACTTTTGCTGAAAAGTCTTAGATCTGTTTCATGCACTTAAGGAAACTCAACGATTCTTTTGTAGTGAACATGGTATCATGTATCTTACTAACTAGTAGATTCTATTATGATACTGACAGTTTGCAAGAATTTACAGGTACCCGGATTTCCGATATCCACATAACACTGCCCGAAACGTTTCATGAATGATGCGAAGTATCCGACCATAAGTTAGGGAGATATAACATGATGATGATTTCACAATTTATGATGAATCTATTGCGTTGGTTATTGTTATATCAGTTTTATATTATTGAGATATGTCAGAAAGATGTTTTTAATCCTGTTTGTCATGCTTCCTATGGATAATTTCACAGACTATGTGAAGTACAATAGACTAGACAAAAAAACTTACAAGAAGTAGGCTACGTACTTAAGATTATAAATTTGCTAAGTATATGTCTAGTAACAGCTTTTGTAGCTATACGCGGCAGGACTATGATTTGTGGATGAGCCAGTCGATAGAGAGTAAGCGATTTCAAGCTCGCGGGGTCTATTTCAGTGCCCAATACATATGTACGATCGGTCTACAGAAGATTTCAAGGGCGTTATCATTGAGAGGCTACAATAGATGAGATTACTGATAAGCCCTTTTACTTGTGATTGAGCTATTCAAATGACTACTGGACATTGTGCAGACTATTGCGACGATACTGTATTTCGAGGTAATATGTATTGAAGGAAGAAATCTTCTAGAGCGGGAACTTTCTTCACTCGGCCCCGATTGACACTAATGGTAATTGTTGTAAACTGGATAATAAGAGCACTAGTAACACTGGCCGTAACCTTTGAAAATGTTAATGAAGCTTCGGCAGTTTAGTGGTTTGAGTACTTTAGAGATATATTTGCGATAAAGATGATGACCTTGAATCAGTAGTTTGGGGGAATCGGGAGAATCGTAGAGATCGATGAAACAGTAGTTAGAAATGCAAATTCATCAGAGAAAGAAGTGCTAGATTTATTTATTTATTTGGACACATGAATATTGGTACAAGAGAGCGCCAATATATATGCGCCACACAGAACAATGAATATTCGAAGAGGAATATAAAGAAAGAAAAAAAAGAAGCTAAGGAGCACAAAAAAAAGAGAGAACAATAACGAAGAGATTGGTGTAAGGTAATGTGCTAGTAAACAGGGAACGCAAAGGTACAATCGGAAGAAATCTTTCAGGTAAGGGAGACACAACCACTTTTTATGAAGAAAGTAAAAGAAGGTTACAGCAGGATCGCCACTGGCTTCTATTCTGAGCCATATCTGATAACGTCTCTAGCCACTGTGTAGCACCATCTCTCGGACCCCAACCAGGGAGTCGTAAGGGACCGACACAAGCCAGTCCTTTGCAGCTTTCTTTCATACCACGACACCATGTCATGCACTGACCACCTCTCCGCTTCTTCCAACCAGTCCCAGAGTCGGCAAATAATGCACGAGGTGGAATTCTCTGGGACGACATTCGGAGAACATGTCCAAGCCACCGAAGTCGGCGTTTCAAGATGGTGACACCAATTGAATTATCATCTTTGTGCCCGAACACACGATGCCGAACCTCTGCATTACTGACATGTTGTTGCCACTGAATGTCAGCAATCCTTCGGAGACAGCGATGATCGAACACAGAGAGTCGTCTAACGTCCTCAACTCGGAGAGGCCAGGTTTCACAAGCATAGAGCAGAACTGCTCTCACCGACGCGTTGTAGATCCGACCTTTTACAGCCAGACTGAAATCACGAAGGCGCCAAAGGTGGCCCAGATTGGCATAAGCCGCTCTGGCTTTCATTATTCGTGCATTGATCTCATCACTCACACCCCGACCAGCACTTATGCAGCTACCCAGATACACGAACTTCTCGACTACGTCTATCTGCTCACCATCCAGGGTGAGTACAGGATTAGAATCCTGCCAGTCTTGTAGAAGTACTTTGCACTTGGAAGGTGCAAAGCACATACCATACCTACGGACACTGATTGCCAACTGATTAAGTGCGGATTGCATGCCTTGGGCATTATCGCACAGTAAGACAATATCGTCCGCATACTCAAGGTCGAGAAGTCTTTCTCCAGGCAACAGATCCACACCGCCATTACTTACATTCATCAGAGCTGTTTCCAGAATGTCATCGATGGCAAAGTTGAAGAGGAATGGTGAGATTGGGCAACCCTGCCTAACCCCACTACTCGAATGGAACAATGGAGAGATTGTTTTTCGGAGCGAGAAAAGTAGTTGCCATAGACATAGAGTTCATCGTTTGTGTGTGGGCTGTGATACTGCCCAGGTGCCCAAACCGAAGCAGGTGGGCCCCCAAACGCCCTGGTATGGCCGAGAGCGGGGTAGGTTCGCCCTCTCTCTCAAAATACTCTCACACGGCCGCGCGTATACAGCCTCTGCCAGGGAAGTCCTACTCACTGCCTTCTCGTGGCGGGGGTGTTGTTTACGAAAATGAGAGGACGAAAAGCGAATGTCCGGCGCTTTAACCGGATTCCAAATCAATGGTGCACATGGGCACCAGTATCCTGCGGGAACAAATGGCGTATGAACCAATTTTCGGTCACCGGCTACCATGGGACTGCATCTCCTTACGATGCTCCACTGCCTTGTGGGTTAGACTTTTAGGTCAAAGGCTCGGGGAGTGGCCCCCTATGATAACCACCTTATTTATTTATTTGAACACGTAGTACGTAGTACTTCCTCAAATACACTTAGGTCATCACACAAAGGGACATTCCCAGCAGGTCAGAAACCGACAGGCTAAAACGCTAATACAAGCTATACGGGAGTATGTGCAACCGAGTAACACAACATACACGGACGACTGGAGGGCATATATGTAGTTTCGTCCTTCACATGAAACATCTTGTAGACTCCACCACAGAAGTACACACCAGTAATATAGAAGCACTGTGACCGAGACTAAAAGAATTCTTGTGACCTTATCACGACTTTAGAGGTAGGTTTTTGTGAAGTCACATATATGAGTTCCTGTACCATATGCATCACGATTTCAGAACTGTAGAACCTCTTTCTAACCTGGAAAAGTTTTTAAATCATGCTAGGGTAGTGTATCTAGTCTAAATTTCCGGCTTTGTTTAGTATATTCTTACTCTATACCGACTGTTTTTTGATAGCCTGAAATTCCTAAGTCACTGAGATTCGTTCAAATGTCGTCCATAAATTAAAGTATCGCCCGTTAATTGAGTAGAATTACTTTAATAACTTCGATTTTGCACTTTGAGCTCCATTATATAGCTCGGTCTATTATTTAGACGTTCCGCATTTTTTAACCACTTAATTTATTCCACTAGTTGTATCTGGGACACAATTCTCATTGACTCACACATTCTGTATCGTTTTCTCACACCTGAACTAAAAAGCTGACTTCCATTCTCTGAATGGTTTTTCTCGCCCTCCTGAATTTCAGGGTAATCTCGAAAAATATTCGTTCTGCTTCGTCAACTCAATCTAGTTGACTATCATTTTTTTTAGACTGAATCAGACTTAGACAAAGACCTTATTCATCTGTTGGGGGACATGAATTTACTAATCTCATTCTCCTGCAGTTCTTTTCGCATTCATACACATTTAGATCTTTATAACTCCTTTCTAAATCATTTTTCCTTTACAGCCTAAAGCACTTGAATTGGCTGCACGTAAGGTAGCTGCTGTTTCTGGTGATGTGCGACGTGCTCTTGATATCTGCAAAAGAGCTGCTGAAATTGTTTCATCTATTGGGAAAGGTAACAAAGAAATAGATATTTCGCATATCAATGCCGCTTTAAAAGAGATGTTCACTACACCGAAATCAGAAGCTATATGTGCTTGTTCATTATATGAGAAATTGTTTCTTCGTGCTGTTATAGCTGAATTTCAGGCGCGTTCAACAGAAGAAGCTCGATTAGACCGGTGTATTCGTCAAATGTTTGCACTTTGTCGACTTGAAGGTTAGTGAATTTCTTATAACCACTTCTGATATCGCTAACAAAAGTCAACACATTTACATTATATGAGTAGTTACAGCCCACTCTTACGCTAATTTTATTCACCGATTTTGTAACATTTATTTTTCCTCATTCGTCTATCAATTATAATTAGAGTTCGCATTCGTCAGTGAGTTCTTTCTGTGAATATTCCCATCGAAATCCCTCACCTTTCCATTACGATCCTAGTTCTAGTATAGGAGATATATGTGAAATAATCACTATTTGTATTAGGATACAATTAGGTGCACCATTGATGTTAGTTTAACCTTCCCGTATCATAATTTATATGGCAACTTTCAGACTCTTTGGTGGTCGAAAATCAACTACTGGTCTTTTTTTGGTCATCAGTGACAAATACAAGTTTATGCTGAGTAATATTGTCACAATAAGTTAATTGTTCACCAAGGGCATTATTAAGTCAAGGACTTTCATTTATATCAAGCTTTTTGGTCCTTTTCAGGTGTTCCATGTCCAACTACATCAGAAGTATTTGCTATTTGTGCTAGTCTTGGAGCTCATAAGCTATTGTTAACTGAAAGATCGCGATGCGATATTTCAATGCTTGTCCGTCTCAATTGTACAAAGTCGGATATATTATACTGTTTAAATCAACAACCTGACTTATAAATCTAAAATATACTGGACGAATTACTCTAAACTTAGAAAGAGATGTTTTAATGGACGATTATCCAACCAATCATCTGTATGTTCGAGATTATATTTGTATTTTTCATTTCAAAAACGACATACTGATGTTCATGCATTTCAGTAAATTTGTCGGTATTATATTTAATTGATTCTAGTCCATGTTTACAACTTTACCATGGATAAAAACTAAGAATTTGTTTTTTATGAATCAATGCAGTTAATAAACTAGATTAGAACTAGTTTAGCATATTTCTATTATATCTATTAAATAAGCGTTAATTAACTCTCCCATTTCTCGATAATCCCACATATTTCTAAATTCTTTTCTTAAATCTGCTCAAATCACTTTTTACTGACAAATTTTTTAGTTGCAATATGTTATTGTTTTGGGCCAGCTTTAACCGAACGAAAGTAACTATAAATTTAAATTCATCTTCCTAATGAATAGATGATCGTTTTCATGTTTCTTCTTAAAAATGTTTGCTTTGAGTCATTCTACAACAGTTTCATAGCTAAGTTGTCATCTAAAGAACGCTATCTCATTTAAATCTGACATAAAAAACGTTAATTGAAAAATGTGAAAATAAAATACTTCTATGTAATTGAGAACCATTTTCGATGTAATACGATAGTTGGCGCATTGAAAAAGGTACTACGTTGTTACTGCGTTTTTCACTAACCCGTCACCATTATAATTCCACTAGATTTATAGTTAGACTAAACGCCACGGTTGCAGATATTGCATTTATTAGTGAGAAGCCGTGACCAGTGGAGTTCAACCGGGTCTGTTGTGAGATAGTAAGTCACTTAAGACAATGGTGGGCGGTAGCGCAGTTTCGTAGATTGGTTAAAGTTAGACATTAACACCGCCAGATGGCGGCTCAGTGATCTAAAGGTTAGGCGTTCGCGTGCGAGACTGATAGGTCCTGGATTCGAGTCTCACGGGGCGGGGTCGTGGATGTGCACTGCTGAGGAGTCCCATACTAGTATGAAACAGCCGTAAAGTGCTTCCAGGTTTTCTATGGCGGTGTAGCTTCAATTAACTCATGAATCCAGTTATTAAAGCTAATTATATCATGTATGAGTAAGCCTAGTGGCTTTCACCGATAATCAGATATAACTACGGGAAGCGTACGTCCCACCACGGCTTCATCACGTACATAAAATAACCACATTGCTGATACGTTAGATCAGTCAAACTTAGATCAAAAGATAACCACACACTATTGACCAGAATTCAACACCATTGCTTAAGGGAGGACACGCAAGTGGTTGAAGATATGAGTCTCTTTTCTAAGGGACAAAGCTGTGTGAACGGATGATTATATATATATTTATAGGTTCGGTTTAACCAGCAAACCTTCATATCATGGACTAAGTCTTGAATAGATTAATAAAATATAAGGTTAGGATCATATTCTTCGTATAAAGTGCCTTCACTAAGACAGATTATTTGACCCAAAAAGTACAAAAAATAATATTGATAGTTTCACATATTTGGGATTGAGAAACTATTAAAGAAGCCTTGGAATAAGTTGTGATACAGAGTAGTTGCAGCATTATTTTCAAGAAATATTTGATATTACTAGGAATAGCAGGATCGCCAAATTACACGGTGTCGCTATAATCAAAAGGTATATACTTCAACTGATCTCTCAAGTATTGGCACAATTGTAAGGACATGCTTCACACTTACCAGTGAAAAGAAATGTCAAACGATCGTCATATTAGTTCATAACCAACTTTTAAACAAAGAAAATAGTATTCTTATATATTTCATGCACTGTTTCGAAGCCATGGATAGTTCCGCCTACGCTACGTATCGCTTGTCAATAAATTACTCATTCAATATTCTCTGACTGCTAGTGGGTCATTGAAAAAGATTTAAATATATTGTGCTAGTGAGAACTACAACTACTTGCATCAAGAACTTTGTGGTATTTTATTGTTTAGAAATTTAGAGATGCTAGAAAAACAGAGATACACTAATTTGTTGTAGTTCATTCAAATATGAGAAGTGATTCTCGTAAACTTAAAAATATGTCGGCTATGGATCGTATCTTCGATGCCTAATTTGTTCTATGATGACATACTGTTACTACCTCTATTACTCTGGAATTTGCCCTGGCAATTTCATCTCGCTGTGCTAATGTGGTGTGGCAACTTGAACCAATGTACACACGTACCTGGTTCTATGTTTCGTGTAACTAAATGACTGGAATCAACTTTGCACAATTAACATCCGTTAATCGTATGGGATTAAAAGACTATTTACCAGACAGCACAAATAATTCATCCTTTCATGAATCTAATGAATCCTTATCTAAATGATAAAATATATCTCCTTGCCTAATGAATTAAATTAGATTTTGCTTTTTACATTTGCCTAAACCACTATTCTCTTTGCAAAATGTAAACTTAACATCTTTAAGTCATATTTGTCAATCAAATATGTATCTTATACAAAAAAAATACTCTTAATTAAGTATATATGTATATCGAAGGGATCGAGTTGATAGATATTGATTTAGAGAACGATAAATAAACTTTTGTTTCTGTAGATTCATCAAATGAAAATCATGATAGAGTTTGTGTTATTATTAATAATCAATAATAGAAATAAATTGATGAGGTTGAGCAAGAATTATAGTTACTAAATACCTTCATGTATTGTCATCTGAAAACTCTTTATCATTATCAATAGGTAGACGAATGAATGGTTCATTGGTTTCTTTACGATTCATCACAACTACAATTGAACACAGTAAAATCATAAATGAAACGCATATAATTGAAATAAATAAAATAAATCTCAAATCAAATATGATCCATTTCCATAAATATGACCAACTATTCAAATTCAAAAGGCGATTGGCAACATCAGGTTTCAGTATGTTTGAAATACGTTCTAGGCTGCCATTGTTTGGATTTGGTTGAATATTTAATAATGCACACATTAGTGGATAAACGTCTACAGCATGGACAGTAGGAACGCTCTCAGCAATCTTGAAAGAAGGACCACTTGCAATGAAGAATGGATACATTTCAGAGAAATCTGTTGCATAACCATGATCACCAGCTAATAGACATAGAGAAAAATAGAATAAAAGTTAAGATCAATAAAAGTAAAGTTTTTTTGTTTACTACTCAACGTTATTGATAGCGTAAAACAAATGAAAATATCCGAATTAACTTACAAACATTGGCGTAAGGATGTGAAGTGTTCTTTACAATTTTCCAACTTGGCTTAGCAATAAGTATCAATGGAGGCATACGAGAGTTGGTTATATTGAAATTCAGATAGGTAGGAACTTCATCTCTTCGATACACATCTAATTTTGGATGCGCATTTTTTAGACGTTTGTACACTTCTTCAAATTTCCCTAATTATAAGAAAATGATGAGTAAAAATATGTAACTGTTACATTTTTACTTTTATTCTTATTAAATATATGTTACCGACTGATCTCTGAATGAATACTGGTTTGTCAAGATTTGACATTAAAACAATTGATTGAACATAACTATAATCCTAAGAACATTCCTCATAAGGTACAAATTTTACAACGAGCATTACACGTAATGTAGTAAACTGAAATTTCCCATCAGTACTTATTTCTAACATGAAGTTATGTATAAATGATAAGAGGAGGGTTTCGAAAAAGTTAAAACATCAGGTAATCATAATGAGTGAAAGATAATTAGTGTATTTTATAGTGCATAATTGTAGTTGACGATGAATGAATGTAAAATCGGTGAGGTACGTTTTACACATTTATTTGTCACAGATTCGTAAGGAACTTAATATTTCAGTGAGACTCGAGCACGACACTGATAGTTAGACACCAGATAGCTATTAATTAGGTTGGTTTACTATAACATACAATGTTCATTAGTTATTAAATTATATTGAGTTTTATGGGGTTAGATTTGTTAAGTTGGAAAAAATCAGATGAAATCGAAGCGAGATAACAATCAGTTGATTACAGAAAATGCACTGCTAGTGAGGATCAAGACAAATTCCCTTGAAAGTTTGTAAATCCTTCGTGTTTGAATCAGATCTAGGAATCTCGAGTGAACTCAGTGCAAACCAACAGTTCCTGAGTTTGATCCCATACGAACTGTTTACAGTGTCGTTCGATTTATAAAACGGGATGAAACAGTAGCTGAATGAGTCCTGATTTTTAATGGGTATGAGATAATTCCGCACTGAAGAAAATCTCAGAAAGAAAAGTTTATTACAATGCGTGAAGTTTTTTTCCGATAATGAAGGACTGAATACTTACCAGGTGCAGGATAAAGGAATCCCATAGTTGATAATTGAGTATAATTGTACAAAGAATTATCAATATATTTGTCCAACGGAATAAGACGAGTATTTGATGTTTCAGACATACCATGATCAGCAGTTAGAATAATATCTACTTTATCAGAAAGACCACGTTTTTTGATACCGTCTAATAGATGACCAAGTGTTTTATCTAAGGTTTGAACAACTTTTGCAACATGTTTACTATTTGGACCGTATGAATGACCAGTTTCATCAGGTTCTTCAAAATAAGCTAGAATTAAATTTAAATGATATCTAGGATTTTTCAACCACCATAGTATATCTCTGATTCGTTGGTCATACGCATAACGGTGTTCATAGTCATTAAGTAAAGCATATTGTGAAACTCGTTGAAATGGTAAATCATTGCTAACAAACTGATCAGTTAAAGGCCATAAAAGTGAACCAGTATAGCCACCATTTTTTTGCAATGTAACCCATATAGGTTCAGGCCAATCAGTTAACCACGGAGCATGATTTAGGCTTTCCTGATCATATATACTGAAAATTTTATTTGGCCATTTCTTATCTAGTAGACTATTCCCAACAACTCCATGATTTTCAGGATACAAACCGGTAATTAATGTACGATGGTTAGGTAGAGTAATTGTAGGATAAACATTGATCGATTCCATAGCTCGTACACCTTCCGATATTAGACGATCGAAATTCGGTAATGCATTAGAGCCCAGATGAGTTTTAGTCAATTCTATATAATCATGACGAAATCCATCCATACTAATTAGTAAAACAGTTTTGTCGTGATTAAAAAATCTTGATAATGGTCCTTTTATATTCCATCGATATAAATTGATTTCTTGTGGTATCAAAATCACGAGAATAAGGGCACCGAATAGCATCATTACAATGCCTGATATAATTAATGTGAAGTAAGCACAATGAGTTCTACGTTTGTAACGACGAATACATTCGTGATTTATTTGATAGTATGGAGGAGGTAAGTCACTGTCATTTTGTATTATTTGTTCCGTTGACATATTTACTGTAATGAGACGAAATAAAAGAGGAAAATTACAATTTTAATGTCTTTCATATTAAACAAATAAAATATTAAAAAGGAAACGATACATAACTTGGATCAACCTGTAAGAAAGTCTAACAGCTGGTATTTCTATTTGGCTAGAGAGAGGTCATAAATGGATTAGTAAATATTCAGTTAATTATGTTAATGGAAAGTAGTTTTTTATTCTACTTGTGAATATTGGAGGCGCGAACAAGTGAACAAAGGTTTTTTCCAATTACAGAATACCTTGATTGCACTAAGTACAAACGATTATTTTTAAATATATCATAGAATTGGTAGCTTCTTGATGCTTATATCGATAGAAGCCCCAGCTATCAAAGATCCGTGAGAATGGAAGCAAACCAAGTTCAACAAGGCTTTCAGAACATACAATAAAGATATTAAGTAATGATGGAACTGAGAAATGTAGACTGCCATCGTGTTGAACAATCACACAGAAGTCATAACAAAATAACCCGCAAGGAATACGTGATAATAACATCGCTACTATTTTCTAGATGTTCAAGAACCGCCATATATATTTCAAACTAACAGTGGTAACATAACTCGGCATTACAAGTACCTCAAATGTACATGTAAAAACTGTTTGTTACAGAAACATGTACCGGAAAATAGAGTACGTTACTTCTCATTACTATTAGGTTAATTATAGTAACCACTGTCTTGAAACAGAAAGATTATTGATAATAATATATCTATAAATCAAATGTGTGTTCTTATTCTTGTGAAGGATATACAGAGGCAAAATCTTAAATCATTTAACAAAGTTGAAGAGAAAAATAAAACAAAAACTTAAAATAGATTAAAATAACATAACTTGTCACTAACAACTATAGATTAACAAATATGATCATTTCGACAGGTGACAATAGAATAGATGCTAGAAAAGTCTGTAATACAATAACTTCCTTGAAACAGTGTAGTACCTAAAATAAACTACAAACCAGCTTATTCTCTTAATTCTCAGAGGACAGGTATTATAATAAATATTATTCGCCAGAGAATAATACTATTAGATTCCCTGTCCTTGGTAGTAACAGATATCTGATGTATGGGTCACAAATTAACTCAATTTCTGCTTTAATGTGTGTCTTGTAACAGTATTTATTATACAACAGGCACTAGTACAAATGAGTTTCAGGTCCTCAGACTCAACTTACTAACATTTGAATTAAAATTGGAAAGATAATATATGGTACTAAAACGAGATATGGTAATCCTGCACCAATTTATTTAGAAAAATGTGGTTTGGGTTAGCTCATGGTACTTTATTGTGCTATGCAAGTAGATAGAAGAGTGATAAAACCATAATAATAGATTTCAGATGAGGGAGATGAGTTTTACTGACAACTGGACCCAGGCAAGACTAGATAATGAGAAGAAACTAGCCAATGAATTTGTAAACTATCAACAATTAAGGATGGGATACATGCTATGGGTACAACGCTACTAACCTGTAAATTGTACTATTCTGTTTATCAAGTACCGTAGTAAGCTTCCAAAACAGTCTATTTATCCACTAGCGGTACAAGTTTTGCTGCTAGATCTATGGCCTCCCACCACAGTTTAGAAGAAAACTTTGATAAATAACTAAAGACTTCAAGTCATGCAGTTCGAGATCGAAGACAGTGACGAAAATGAATTCAGTTTATTTCTTGACAGTAATGCTGTTCCTCGGTTATTTTATTTTTACTGTGTACATTCTCGTGTCTTTGTTTTTAATTATTCTGCTTAAATGAGTGGTATCATGAATTGATTAAAATTTGAAGTTTTAACTGAAAAAATGAGTTATAATTGTTAGAAGACTAACTTACCTATTGGTTCACCTCCAAAATGGTAAATTGTGAATGATTGTACCTTAACTGAGTCACAGGATGAAATGAAGCAGTTGCACATATGTTACTGACCTCTAGTCGATGTCTTTATTCACACAACTGATTGAGGTGAATATAATTTTCGATGGTTCTTTACAATATATCATGAATTTCTAGATTTTACAAATATACCTTAACTTATTCTTTTCATAATTACGATACATGAGACAGATACATATTTGACAACTCCTTTAGAATTACACTGTACTATAATCAGCACATAGTTTCTCATTCTTTAGTTAAAAGAAAATGCAACAACCAAACGTATGATAGGTATACACAATAGTAAGCCACCATAGTACGAAATGATGAATGAATTAATTGATAAACGCAATAGTAATAGTATTTCATTTAGATTCAGTAAATGTACTCTTACAATAAAGGTATGTGTATTTCTGTACAAAGACTATTCATCTTAATTATTCACTGGGGTAATATAAATTCATCTTCGACTAAGAGTATTGTTTTACTGATAATGTTTGGAATAATACTTGGGGTGGGCAGGAGGAGGCAACAGACAAATTACGTACCATTTCTTGATTGTTTTGAACGTATACAATATAAGCAATATTAAAGCTAGTGCAACATTCATTTTTAAAAAAAGAAATTGTCAGTGCGGCAAGTGAACGAATACATATCAATGAAAACATTCTCAACAATAACATGATACATGCAAACACAAACAGAATGATGAATAATTAACCACATTAGTAGTGCAAAGAGATTTGTCGTTAACGTCAACTAAAGGTTGCAGTGATATAGATTCTCAATCGGTATTGAAAACAAATAATCAATTAAATATATTTTATTTGTCATGTAACAGAATATGTGAGTAAAGAGAAAAAACAGATCAATACAGTTTCAGGTAATCCCGTTCATGTAAGCTAAAGGTATTTTCACTGACTATAGCCATGTAATTTAGACACTGGTGATGGAGCACGTCGGAAGAATAAGGATGATCCTCTAACAAAAGCATCCTATAAAGCAAAAATGTTAATTTATTAAAGTCTTTATTTATGCATACACTAAAATAAGTATTTTTCAGAAAATACGGTTAAACTATAGTCCGGAGGAGCATGTACAAATTTATATAATTTATCATTCCTCAAAAAAGCAATTTAAAGATGTTAAGCAAATCATTTAATGTCTTATTTGATCAAGTAAATAAATACAGCCTAGCAATATATTCTAGAAAATATTATTTATCAAAAGTCAGTCAGTCAGCTACAACGTAGGACCAGGAACATATGTGCATCAGTCCAGGTTGCCATACCGCATCACCACAACAAGATGAACACCGGATTCATAGGAGTGGTTAGGTCAAAGGTGGTAATATATAAGAGAAAGATTGCATATAGAGATATAGTACAAGAAGAAAAAATTGGTTCGTAGAAAGAAAGATATGAAGTGATTTTAATCTCTTAGTTTAAGGGAAGACAGGGAGTGTATACACCGACGCCATTGTGATCGATTCTGAGCCATGTCACCAAGTCTCCAACCATCGGTTACGAAAGTCACGTGGACCCCAACCAAGTAGTCTGCATCTACCAACATGGCTTAGACTAGAAGTTAGTGACTTCAAGCACTGATGCCACGTTTTAGTTTGGCCGCCCCTAACTTTCTTCCAACCATCTCCAATACCGGATAGCATTGCACGTCGTGGTAGTCGGTGTTCAGGCATACGTAACACGTGGCCCAACCATCTCAGTCGATGAAGATTCATAACCTCATCAACTGATTTACCATCATTCCCTAATACCCTGCGTCTAACCTCACTATTACTTACCCGGTGATCCCAGCAGACGCCAGCAATATTTCTAAGGCATCTGTGGTCAAATACTAATAGCTTACGAGTGTCTTCTACTCTTAATGGCCATGTTTCGCTGCCGTAAAGTAAAACAGAACGGACTGCCGCGCAGTATACCCGTCCTTTTATTGATAGACGGATATCTCGCCTTCGCCAAAGGTGACGCAAGTTGGCAAAAGCCAAGCGAGCTTTTCGAATCCGTGCAGAGATTTCGTCAGATACCAACCCATTAGGGCTGATCAGACTTCCAAGATAAGTGAAGTTGTCAACGCGTTCGACTACTTCACTCCCTATCCTTAGTTCAGGTGTTGACGCAGACCAGTCCTGAAGCAACAACTTGCATTTAGAGGGAGAGAAGCGCATCCCAAACATTCTGGCATTGTTGCTTAGTGCTACCAAAAGACTCTGCATTTTGTCAGCATCTTCACCAAATAGGACTATATCATTTGCGTATTCTAAGTCGATAAGTGGACCTCCTGGATAGAGATCAATACCCGAGAACTCAGTCGACGAGAAAGTTATTTCCATCAGTAGATCTATGATGAAGTTAAACAAAAATGGGGAAAGTGGACAGCCTTGACGGACACCACTTGAGGTTACAAAAGTAGATGACAGTTCGCCATAAGCTCTGACTCGACTAGTAGTGTTCGAGTAGAGAGCCTTCACAAGGTTTATGTACTCCTGTGGTACGCCTTTCAATGACAGACACTGCCACAGAATCTCGCGGTCTACCGAGTCAAATGCTGCTTTTAAGTCGAGAAAGACCACCATTGTCGGACGCCGATAAGTATGCCTGTGTTCTAGAATCTGACGAATGGTGAATATGTGGTCGATGCAGCCACGACCAGGTCTGAAGCCAGCTTGATTCTCTCGTGTTTGCAGTTCGCGAGTCTTAGTTAGGCGTCTGATAATTATCGAAGCTAGTATTTTAGATATTATATTAGTTAAACTAATCCCTCTGTGGTTGTCACAGGATGATTTTGACCCTTTCTTATATATTGGGACGATAAGTGATTGTGACCAGTTAGATGGGACAACGTCTAACTCCCAGATCTTAGCTAAAATATTAGTCAACCTAATCGCTAAAATTGGACCACCATCCTTAAAGACCTCTGGAGCCAGTCCATCTGGACCAGCTGCCCTTCCTCGCTTCAGATTAACTATAGCCTTTTGAACTTCTGCTAGAGTTAGGGGACCTACTTCAATGTCCCATTCACACTGTCTGGGGATGGAGGGTAGTTGTAGAGTAGCTGAAGGCCAGTTGAACTGTTCTCTGAAATGTTCCGCCCATCGTTCTAAACGTCTGGACTGGGAGCAGATGAGAGTATCGTCTTTTTCCGATATAGTCTCACTTACACTTGACTTATTAATTCCAGTTTCTTTTATTAGTCTGTAAAACTGTCTTGTGTTCCCTATAGTCGCCGCCTTTTCTATCTCTTTTGCTTTCATTGCCCACCACTGCTCACGGTCGTTTCTTAGACTTTTTCTTAACCTAGATCTGATTTGTTGTCGCTCTTCATCATGTTCGGAACCTGATGGGACGAGTTTACGAGAATCCATCAGTGTGATAGACTTTGAAGAAATCCATTGGTTCTTTGTAACCCTGTGGTTTAAATCACAGATAGATGTCACTGCTGTTTCCACAGCTGTTTGTATGGCTTTCCAAGCAACAACTGGGTCAACCTCGTTTTCAAAACTACCTAATCGTGACCTCAGTTGTTCCTGGAACCTACTTTTGGTTTCCTCGCTACTCAGTTCGGTTCTAATGGGTCTTTTTACTGTGGCTTTTTTGCGTCCAGTGAGGCGCAAGCAGATGCGTGCCCGTATTAGGACATGGTCGGAGTCCAAGCAGGTACTCCAGAATGAGCGACAATCTCCTACCGACCCTCTCCAACGATGACTGATGGCAATATAGTCTATTTGAGTCCATCGTTGGTTTGGTGTAGGGGGTCGCCATGTTAGACGATGTCTCTCCTTATGCTTAAAATTTGTGTTTGCTAAAAATAAGCGATTGTCTGAGCACAGTTGCAGCAGACGATCACCATTATCTGTTCGCTATGCCGGAATACTAAAATATCCACCTAAATGCCTTTCTGTTTGGTTTAAGCTACCTATCTGAGCATTAAAGTCACCCCCTATGAGTACTATGTCTGATCGTTTAGCTTTCTGAAGAAGTTCAGAAAGCTTTCTGTAAAATTCATCTTTCATTTTATCTGAGCTGCAGTCAATGGGAGCGCAGGCAGAAACGACGAAAAGGCAACGACGTGTATCCCTATCCTTCTGAGTTCTTACGGAGCCGTTCAACCGAACAGCACATAGACGACTGTTGACGGGGATCCACCCTAGCAGTGCTTGTTCCGCCCTCATGCTTAGTGCTATGCCTACACCTGCCAGTCCACGAGAACTGGCCATCGGGTCACCAGATACACGGGGGGTATATCTCGTTGGCTCTCCGTTTTGCCGAGGTGAGGTCAAGTGAATGACCACACTGGAATCCTGTATGCGTGTTTCGGAGACACAGGATACATCAATGGAAAGAGACTCTAGGGTTCTAGCCAAGGAAGCCTGCTGACCGATTTGACATAGGGTGCGTACGTTGAAGGCTCCAATGTGTAGTTTGGAGCGAGGTTTCAGTAGAACTGGGACAGAGTATTGAGCACTAGAATCGTTGGCTATGGTGACACTTGAGGAGGAAGCCGAAGGAGGAAGTTTAGAGTTGCAAGTCGATGTAGGAGGAATAATAGGAATTGAAGAACAAGGTTGATTATGAATACAGTGGTCTCGTGTGCTGTTACGGGTATGAGGGCGGTTATCACTTCCCGGCTGCCCACATCGTGGAAGGGTATTTCTTGAGGAACCTGAAAAGGAAATTGGATTAGTGTTGGTCTTAACGACCTGGGAGCTTGACCGCAGTGCCCAAGGGACAACTGCTTGAGGCCGGTCGCGCACGGCCTTTTCGTGGGAGGTTTTTGACGTGTTAGCTCCGTTCTTCAAAGGGCCTTACCGCCGGAGACGGAAATCCGTGAGGTAAGGTGAGGTGTGCATTTTTAGGGTCGACCTTTTCTAACCCCACCCCTCCTTGTGGGAAGGCAGCATCGCTGTCATGCTGGTTGTCTGAAATTACATTAATATCAATCTCATAATGGGTGTGATATACTGTAGTAAATAACTCCATTCGATCTTATTGAAGTATATCGATCTTATATCATTATTGTTTAACATCTCCGTTAAACCAGGTTAGACATAGATTCAGGTGTATTATTAACTCACTAGCCTATTGATTTTAATGAACTCATTCACTACGTACTTGAGTATCAGTTACACTCTAGTTGTAAGGGCTAGTGATACTATCTGGTTACCTGCCCCCAAATACCCTCGTACGGTCGAGGGTGGGGAGAGTCCGCTCTCCAAATGCTCTCACATGACCACGCATATACAGCCACTGTCAAGGAAGTCTTACTCACTGCCTCCTCGTGGTGGGAGTGTTGTTTATGAATACAAGGAAGTTTTCCTGTTTAATAGTATTAATATTAAAGTAGATCATAGTCACATACATTTTAGTTACTTTTGACCGTTGTTGCTACCTTGACGTGAAGTGACTGGCAACACGGTTATCAATGATGATTATATCAAAAATAGAAAGATTAATTATAAACGGTTTTATGAGGTTGGTCAGCTGAGAATGTAAAGTTCTATATGTACGTAGTTTTGTTGAAGATGATTAAATTGCTAAAAATAATCTAACATTCATGCTTTTTGTTTTTATTTTGTAAATTTAAATTTCCCGACCGAAGCTGCTACCTTGACGTGGTGGTCGGGCTTGCCTATCGTGATGACCCAACCGAGCTATACTGGCTGGAACAACCGTTCCTCAAGGTCCTACCATGCCAGACAGGTCGGTTGAAGAGCGGTAAGACTAAAAGCAACAAACCCAATGTCCGAAGGCGAAGTCGTACTGCTGACTGTATAGAGGTGTGACAGCAGTAAGGTGTTTCCTTCAGACAACCAGCATGACAGCGATGCTGCCTTCCCACAAGGAGGGGTGGGGTTAGAAAAGGTCGACCCTAAAAATGCACACCTCACCTTACCTCACGGATTTCCGTCTCCGGCGGTAAGGCCCTTTGAAGAACGGAGCTAACACGTCAAAAACCTCCCACGAAAAGGCCGTGCGCGACCGGCCTCAAGCAGTTGTCCCTTGGGCACTGCGGTCGAGCTCCCAGGTCGTTAAGACCAACACTAATCCAATTTCCTTTTCAGGTTCCTCAAGAAATACCCTTCCACGATGTGGGCAGCCGGGAAGTGATAACCGCCCTCATACCCGTAACAGCACACGAGACCAAGTTGGCCACATTCAAATCCTTCATACACCTCCTAAAACCTCTCTTATCTCCATGACTAACCCTCCTCACGTCTCTTTATCACCTCGCACCGCTAGGGCAAACGATTCGAGTACGCGGAACGCTATTCCTGGTCTCCTGAAACCACACTCTAAACTACACGTAGGAGCTTTTAACGTCCGGACACTGTGCCAAATAGGATAACAGGCTTCCTTAGCTAAGACTTTAGAATCCCGCGCCATTGATGTGTGCTGCGTCTCCGAAACGCGCATACAAGATCCGAGTAGCGTCATGCCGAAATAAAGAACCGACTCGATTCACACTTCGTGTATCTGGAAGCCCAGATTCTGCTTCCCGTGGCCTCGCCGGCGTAGGTATAGCATTGAGTCCTAGGGCAGAACTAGCTCTCTTAGAGTGGATCCCAGTAGACAGTCGTTTGTGCACTGTCCGACGAAACGGAACAGTAAGGATCTGAAAAGATAGGGACACTCGTCGTTGCCTCTTCGTCGTCTCTGCCTATTCTCCCACTGACTGCAGCTCAGATAATGTAAAAGAGTTTTACAGAAATTTTTCCGACCTCCGAAAAGGTAGGCGTTTGATGTAGTAATAGTGACTGGTGACTTTAATCCTCAAGTAGGTAAACTAAGCGATAGGGAAAGACACCTGGGTGGATCATATAGCATCGTGGCTCAAAGAACAGATAATGGCGACCGTCTGTTGCAGCTATGCTCAGATAACCTGTTTCTTGCAAATACTAACTTCAGGCATAAGCAAAAACATCTTTTAACATGGCGACCCCATAATTCGTCCCAACGTTGGACCCAAATAGATCACATCGCAATCAGCCACCGATGGAGGGGCTCGATAGAAGACTGTCGCTCATTCTGGAGCACATGCTTAGATTAAGATCATGCTCTAGTACGAGCGCGTATCTGTCTGCGTCTTACTGGACGTAGGAAAGACGCTGCAAGTAAACCTCTTAGGGTCCTACTTAATGATAGTCAAGCTAAGAGTATGTTTCAGGAACAACTAGGAAAACAGTTAGGCAGCCATGTATGTTATGCCCACCCCGAGGCAGCATGGAATGATATCCGAAAAGCTGTGGAAACAGCAGTGATATCTGCTAGTACGGTAAACCACAAGGTTAGGGAGGAACACTGGATCTCAGCAGCATCTACCGCACTGATAGATGCTCGGAAACTCATTCCATCTGGCTCTGAACATAATGAAGAGTGAAGTCAGCTTAAGCGCAGGCTGGCAAGGAGTCTACACAATGATCGTGAACAGTGGTGGGTAGCGAAAGCAAGAGAGATGGAAAAGGCAGCGGCAATAGGTAATAGCAGGCAATTGTTCAGACTTGTTAAGGAAACCGGTATTAGGAAACCGACTGTTACCGAAACACTCTCAGAAAAAGATGGACATATTATACATTCTCAATCCAGGAGATTGGATCGATCGATAGGCGGAACACTTTAGGGATCAGTTCAACTAGCCTTCAGCCACACTTCGATTTTCAACGATCTCCAGTCAACCTGAATGGCAAGTTAATGTAGGTCCTCCGTCTCTTTACGAAGTTGAAAAAGCCATAGGAAATCTGAAGCTAAGGAGAGCAGCAGGCCCTGACAGGTTTACTCCTGAGATTTTTGAGGATGGTGGTCCAGTATTAGCAGTGAAATTAACTGAGGTCTTAGGTAGAATTTGGGAACTGGACGTAATCCAATCTGACTGGTCTCAATCACTGATTGTGCCAGTCTATAAGAAAGGACAAAAGTCCTCTTGTGACAATCACAGAGGAATCAGTTTGACAAATATAGTGTCTAAAATATTAGCTTCAATAATTCTTCGACGCCTAACCAAAGTTCGTGAAGAACAGACTAGAGAAAGTCAGGCTAGTTTTCGACCTGGACGTGGTTGTATAGACCAGATATTCACACTACGTCAGGTCCTAGAACACAGACACACGTTCAGACACCCCACAATCGTAGTATTTCTCGACCTTAAGGCAGCATTTGACTCCGTTGATCGTGAGGCTCTATGACAGTGTTTGTCACTGAAAGGAGTACCAAAGAAGTACATTAACATTATAAAGGCTCTCTACTCGAACATAACTGGTCGAGTGAGAGCTTATGGCGAACTGTCATCAGAATTGATTACCTCAAGTGGTGTTCGTCAGGGTTGTCCACTCTCTCCATTCTTGTTTAACTTTTTCGTTGACGTGCTTTTAGAGATGACACTTCCCTCGTCTAGATTTCCAGGGGTTGAACTTCTACCGGGAGGTTCACTTGTTGACTTAGGATATGCTGATGACATAGTTTTATTTGGCGAAGACGCTGACAAAATGCAGTCTTCTGACCACTGTAAACAACAATGCAAGCATGTTCGGGATGCGATTCTCCCCCTCGAAATGCAAAATGTTGCTTCAGGATTGGGTTGAATTGACACCCGAACTAATGATAGGGAGTGAAGTAATTGAGCGTGTCGATCGCTTCACTTATCTTGGAAGTCTCATCAGCCCTTGTGGTCTGGTGAGTGACGAAATCTCAGCACGGATACAGAAGGCTCGACTAGCTTTTACCAACTTGCGTCATTTATGGCGTAGGTGAGATATCTGTCTACCAACCAAAGGACGGGTTTACTGCGCAGCAGTTCGTTCCGTCTTACTTTATGGCAGTGAAACATGGCCGGCAAGAGTAGAGGATATCCGTAGGCTACTAGTATTTGATCATAGGTGTCTTCGAAACATTGCTCGTATATCATGGGACCATCGAGTAAGTAATGCAGTTGTTAGGAAACGGGTACTGGGTAAGGATGGCAAATCAATTGATGACGTAGTGAAACTTCGTCAGTTGAGATGGCTGGGACACGTGTTACGTATGCCCAACGACCAACTGTCTCGACGTGCGATGTTCAGTGGTATAGGAGTAGATTGGAAGAAAGCTAGGGGCGGCCAGACAAAAACATGGCACAAGTCCATGAAGTCACTGACAAGTGGACTGAGTCATGTTGGTAGGTGTTGACTACCTGGTTGGGGACCGCGATATGATAGCAACCGATGGTTAGAGACCTTGAATGACATGGCTGAAAATCGTTTGCAATGGCGCAAGTGCATACACTCTTTGTGCTCTCCCAAATTCTAATCTCCTGATTCCTCCTTGTCACTTTTTTCTCTCTTCCCAAATTTATTTCACTGTATTATACTCTTTAAATAGCATCTTCAAACACTAATCTTCCCGATTACTGCTGATACTCTTACTATCTCTACCACTACGGGATTTGAATCGACCACTGCATCTGTGTGCTAATGTGGTGTGGCAGCTCGAACTGATGTACGTACATACGAAGTTCTACGTTGTTACTTACTGACTGACTGAAATTTAAATTTGTGCTTTTTCCCTTCTAAATTTTATACGTAAAGTACTAGCTATTTATACTGGGGCTAAATCCTTATTTTCTCTATTGGTTGATCTTGTAACATGTTAGTTTATTGTTGTACTTTAGGAGCATTTAAAAAGTAATTACATATAATTGCTGTTCGCTTGCATCAACCTTCGAACCTTCTGAGTAAGATATGTTGTTTGCATTAGAGGTGGCTAGGAAGATCATAAAGAGTTGTTGGGCTGTAACCAATCTTGGTAGATTGTGAAGAGATATATTTTCCCACATTAGTTTCTCCGCGTTGTGATGCGATCATTCAAGCCAATAGTGCATAAATGACTCTTAATGAAAAATCCGTCGATTAGTAATGCCTCCGCTTTGGCGTTTGATCTGACACCAGACACCTACTACACAGGGTCCCTGAAATAAGTGCAAGTGCAGTAGATTTTCAAAATTGGGATGAAAAGCAAATTGTAGCACTTTTTTAGAGTTTTAGATACAGGTGTCAGATATACAACATACGCCAACATTGTCTTTCCAAAGACATGGCTAAATCTATTTATTGTCCGATTCGCATGACGGTAAGAACGCAGAATTCTAAACGACACAAATGATTTTAGAAAAACTGTTATTAGAACTAGCAAATTAATGGTGACATGACTGCAGACCATTTAAACAGGATAGAATTCTAGGCAACAACAAATAAATTTAGTGCAGAAAGACGTTTACCCAAAATGGAATGGGAAGTTAAGTCAGTATAAAACAAATTTTCCAATAGCAAAGTAATCGTAAATATTGCTCGGAAGAATAGTAAAGCAGAACAAATAGAGCATTTTATCCATCAATAGCTACCTTCGTATTTGTGTGTCGGCTAGGATACTGTCTAAAATCCCAAATCGAACCAGAGGTTTGATTAAATGGGCTACCCCAAGCGTTTGAGCGAAAGGTCCAATCAATAACAAAGTAACGTCACGACATGCAGTCCTATGGTAGCCAATTCTGAACCACTGATTTATAACCACGGTTTCAAAAACCCTCTAAACTGACTCTTCTTATTCACCAACCAAGTTTAGGTGCTGGGCATCTGCTCTAGTCTCGTCACCTCGAAAAATGAACACAGAAACACACTAAACAAATGTCAATTGGACCACCTATACCGCAGCTACGATGAAAAGACTGGTTGGTGAAATTTCGTAGACAATAAATGAACGCCAAATTGACGCTAATGCTATTTTCCAGAGTGACAACCAAAACTTCACTTAGAGAATGCAACACCATTAGAGATCAAATATGTATGGCTAGACTGAGATTTGTTTAACTACTGTTTTGAACAAATGACGTCAGGTTGAGGTATATTAGTTTTTAAAAAAAGTTGTACGACATAAATACAGAGAAATAAGAAACTTACAGATTGACTGAGATAGGAATAACACTGCCACCAATTGTTGAATACAGGTACGACGTTAATACTGTTAAACAAACAAGTAAAATACATCAATATCACTTAACATAATAAAAAAACTTACATGATGGAGGGATAATATTAAGAGACTGTTACCACATTTTGTTTAAAATTGCTATTATGAATACAGAAAATGTAGCAACCTTAAGAAACTCATCACATCATTTGTGAAAAATAAAGGCTGTTCTGCAAAAAAAACTATTTTCGACGATATCATTTAGTGAAGCTATTCAAACATTTATAAGTTAGTAAAATAGAAGAGTGTTAAATCAACTAACAAAAGTATAAAAAGTGTGACTTAAAACTCGTTTTACGAGTGTATATCCTGAAATCACATCTGTACTTTGTACTTGTAGTAATGAGATAACACTTATCAAAATACAATCTGAGTAAGAACAGTTTTAATGAGTTTTGAGAATATGACAAATTAACACATATGAATGCATGCAAATGAAGAGATAAACATTCTATAACAAAATATAAATCTGCTATTTTGTGTCTAAAATTTATGTTGATCTATAATGTCCTCAACAATAAGTTTCCTTTGTTACAATATCAATAAGAAAAGACTTAAATAATAATGGAGTAAGAAGTATATAACCTTTGGTTAATAAATAATTGATCTTTGATCGAAATAATATTAATTGAACAATCGCAACTTTTGACAGTGAGGCCATTAACGTTTCATGAACTTTTCTAAAATAATCACTATCTCCAACGGTATATCGTCATCATGTTCATTGAGTAAAGAAATGTGAGTTACCAAACTAATACGTTATTGTAAAATAACAATATTTTTTGTAAAAAAATGATTTAACCCGACGAGACAATGAGAATAATTATAAAAGCCAAATTTGTTGATAGACTGAAATTTCAGGGTTACTCAGCTTAGTTATGCAATTCCTTCTATCATTTTTTACTAATTACTCCCTCTGGTACATTACCAAACTCTAAAATATATTAAAATAACTGACGAAAAATGAACCAACGATGATTATCCTGAGTAGCATATAAAATTAAATATCTATTTCTGATGTTATTCTCTAGATATCTTCCATACCTATCATCTACAATTCCTACTAGAGTATCCATCATCCTTTAGATCATCAAGTAGTCCTCTTTCAATATCTGAAATTCCTGAACACTTTATAACACAAAATAATTCCGTTTTTAGTAAGCCATGATAGTTAGCATATTACGTGGTTATACTTCTTTTTCTACCTTAATATACTAAAAGTATGTTATCCTAAAGTAAATGGGATAAATAAGTCTATGATACACATATATGATTAAACTATTAAGTATCTTAGAATTTATAGGTTGAACCATTTGTTTAAGAGGTGAGATAAAATAATAAAACAATAATTAGAAATTTACATAGCTGCAGTTCTACTCATACAGTATAAAGCATAAAGTTTAACGTTAAATCGTAGCGAGATTGTTTCTAAAATTAATAATATATTAATAAAAATGAAACAAATTGGTGTTTTCATATCAAAATGACTTTATTTTCAGAAGTGAAGTGTGGAAGTCAATTTTTGTAAACGATGACTTTGTTATTATTTATCGCATTTTCTATAATGTTCAACTAGAAATTGAAAAACCAAGTAGTTATTTGTGACTACTTTTATAAAACTATTATTAGACGATAGAAATATTAGTAATCGAAAAATAGGCTCTTACTACTAGTAAAGTTTAAGCGCTTGAACCAGGATAGTATTGATAAAAACAATCTCATACTGTTTGGGTTTTAATGACTGATAGATTAATATAGAAAGTTATAAACTAAAAATATCACAAACTACATAGATAGTATCCATGATCACTCACCCATAAGGATACATAAGATTACGGTAATCAAAGAATATTAGAGTAAGCACTGTGGATACAGCTAACTGTTTAGTAGTTGATAGAGTACCACAATGAAGCATTTAAGAATAAGAAAAATGCTCTGAAACTAACCAGCGGATTATGCAACCGAAAAACTTGTGGAAATAATTGAGTCAGGGAGACATCCAATAACACAGAAAGAACTTAAATGTTGTAGAAATAGTAAATAAAACTATATGGTAAAAAGATACGTATTCATAGACGAAAATTGGATAGAGGAACAGCGTTATATATATATCTACATATATATCAGTAGAGATTGGTGGGTAGGTCAAAATATCAATCATAACTAAAAATCACAACAGTTTCATAAATAAAAACACACCACAAACACGCATATATATACTACAGATTGTGTTCTAAAATATGACGTACGTCGAGTCACAAGCAGCCATAACTGTGGAGGTGACTGTGAGTCCATGAGTGGCGCCACTTACTATCATCTGAAAGCAAAAGTTAGAAACACACATGAAAAGCAACTGGAAAAGATTTGCGTGACTATAAATGTCAGCTTATTGTAAGTGTTGTATAAAATCAGGTACATTTTACACAACACGTAAGTTCCTCATCTTTTAATCAAGTAAACCGCGTAGTCTAAACCTAGTTACAGGACTCAAACCAACAGTCAATAGCTTTGTGGGTTGATGCAATGTCTTTGTTTTCACATCTCTAGCTTTCTTCCAGACTACTTCTACACCAGACACTATTACACATCAATGTAGGCGGCGATTGTGCATACTTGATACACGTCCCAACAACCTCGGTCGATGAAATACTAATTTCTCGTTAACCGGCTAGCCATTTTTACCTAGTACTCTACGTCAAACCATAGCATCGTCAACTCGATGGTACCAACATATGTAATCAATGCACTTATATGTGATTTCTCTTTATTTGGTCAACAAAGTTCACATGTATGACTAATTTTCACAGTGCTTTGTTGTAAAAACGGTTGGCAAAAAGTACACAAAAACAGTCATCGCGGTTAGTAAGAATATTCAATAATGATAAAAAGTTAATTCTTGAACTACTGAACAAAATAATATGTACTCACCTCAGTTACCAAGGGAGTGTGCTTTTTCAGAGGAGGGTCGATACGGTCCATGAAAATATATTTATTGAAAAAATAGGCAAGACAAGCAGTCAACCAAACTGTAATAACCTCTCCAATTAATCTAGGTGTCAAACCACTAGAAAGGAATATCATTTAGATAAAACACACCTGAAGAAACTTAAAAAACCTTCATTTCTCAGTATAGTAGGAAAAGCATTGAAAATACAACTGGAGGGAGACAAACATAAACTAAATTTATTCGTGATTCATACTCATATAATCGTGTCCCATTGATAAATTGCGACATTTGGCGAATCATTATGACTATTTTTTTACGGTGAAAATACATCTAATATTTGAATACCTTGGAATGGATAACTAACAACTACACCCACTACTCGAGCAACAGTACATTTACTGGTCTAAAAGGGTAAGTTAGTTAAGAATGATATCAATTAAAATTACACTGATCAAAAAAATTCTGATTCCTTTATCAGTTTCAAAAAATGTTTTCTTTTCAAAAAAGTCCGGAGTTAAATACTTTTGCAAATAATAATTGTATATTAAGCATTTTGTACCTCCATAGTGATGTTGGTAGAGTACGACTTAACAAATGACCCAATAATATTAGCAGGAAGTCCAATGGTGAAAATTCCATACAATCCAACTTCTTGGCGAAGTTTACGACCTTTAATTACAATGAGATAATTGTTGGAGAAACTTGCAGTAAGTGAAAACACTTGGGTAGTAATATACTTCATAATTCGGACGTAGAATGTTACGTAAAGTAAATCGACGAACAGGAGGAAATGGTTCATACCCCAACTTAAAAGTTACATTTGAAAGAATATGACTTACCAACATCATTGTCCTGGCATAAGTCAGGGGATGAGTTATGGCTGGCATGAGCGACGGTATCAAAAATTTATAGGTGGTTTCCAAATGATCCATAGTAATTAAGCTATTGAAGGAAAATGCATTAGTAGATGCAATGAAATGAACCAAGAATGCAATACAAAAGTTAATCTTAGTGACTAAACCTTGCAGATAATATTACTGTTAGATTTCAAATGAAATGTCACTAGGTAGTTTTTAATTATTTCTGCAGACGATATAATAATGACTGTAATTACACAAAATAGTATACATACACTGTAGGTCTACTCGTTTACTTATGAACGTCTTATTGTTACGTTTTTAGTGATACAAAATTGCCAAATTTATAGCCGTCTTTTTACGCGATTTACATGACACGGACCCTTTGAATTGGATGAAAAGTCTTTGCAGTCTAAAGGCCTGGACAACCGGTGTATATAATGTGTCTATCCAAAATGATCAATAAACAGAGCAACTCGGTTAGACTCAAACTTCCAGGAACTATAGTTATTTTTGGGCTAAAACGACTGTGTTCAAAAGGAATCAGTAGGTAATCTACAACTATCATGATAACTAATGGTGGATAATATTAAGGATTGAAAAATTCACCATAGACATGTAAGGCGGAATAACTAGTTAGGGAGTATTGGACAAGATGTGTTGTTACAATGAAGTTCGACTCAATTTCCAAGATAATCTGTAAAAATGAAACGAGTTCTAGTCCCGTTTAGTTTGGCTGTATGTCTAATTTATAGGTCCTGATTATTTGAGAGGACCAAACTTTCAACGAACCATATTGCAATCATAATTATCCCAGTGAATTTGATTTTCAGAAGCTGATAAGTTCAAGAACCAGCCCGAATGACTTCAGTTCGTATTTTGTGGCTGACATTCATGTTGGGAACCAAGAGTTCAGAGTTAAATACACAGTAAACAATTAATTTAACGAAACCTTATGATAAATAAGAGTACCTACTCTCCTGTATCATAAGTGATAACCAAGCTGGTTTGTGTATGAAACACAGTGACGCTAGTTCCTGAGGGCATGAGCTATGACCACAAACTAGTGAGGTATTACTGACATTTTGTGGATAAATTTCCAAGAATAATCGGGGTTTCAAATCTTCGTGCGGGGGAATCTAACGTAGAATCTCGACTGTTCCAAGGAAACCTAGACAAACTAGGGAACCTTATGCGCATGGGACCGTGACAGAATTATGTTCCAAACTCCCAAAACCAAACAACATAATAACATGAACTCATGTTAGAATATCAAGGTTTTGAAGTGAGAGACACTAAAATTCTGAGATTCCGAATGTTTTCCCACTAACAATGAAGTAGAAATTAAAAGATAGGAAGGCACACCGAAATTCAGCTTCGAGGAATTATAGAGTGAAACCATCTATATCTAAAAAATTAAAACCGATCTCTTAAAATGAGTAATGAAAGGGTTGAATATCATCTAATCAACATCTACGAAAATGTAACAATGTAGATCATCGATATTCCCTAATCTCCTGATCCTAGGAGTTTCGCCCAATCCCAATGACAATTGGCAGTTTTCCCAAAAATTTCCCCAAAATCGGGATATTGGGTGCTTAAGTTTATAAATCTGAAGTGACTGAAAACTGTGTTAAGTATTGATTGATGTGCGTTTAAACCATTGATTGGCCATCACGAATTGACCTTAAGGATATTTCTTAGAAATAACAAATTGCATTGCTTGATACTTTCAAACCAGTTTCTGACCTTGGTGAGGACGTATCAAATATTGTCGTTGATATTCAATTACCTTGTTGTTAGACAGAGAGTGGGTCAGTTGAGCTGTGCTAATCCACAGAGTATTTTTCCAGACGGTGACACGGTTACATATTTTAAATGTTTGTTGATTAAGTATATACTATTTGTTCCGACATGGTGTTCTAGTCAGTTTCAGTTTGGAAAGCACAGGAGGTTTGATGGCCTGGGTTAGTCCTGGCAATGATGGTCTCTCAGGTGATCCAACTTTCCTTTGAAAGCGTCGACGTATGAAGACTCAACCACGTGCTGATGTAATGAATCCTCCTCGTTCGATGGGAAAGCCGATAGTCATCTGACAAGTAATTTGTTCTGGGCTTGTTAACTTTTTTGGAGTTTCCTCGTAAATCCCCTGTTTTGTAAGGCAAAACAAATGAGGGCATATCGGGTGCACATTCAGCACTAAACAATTTGAAAACTGTAATCAAGTCGCCTCTAGTTCTTCGATATGACAACGGGAATAGGTTTAGCCTGACCAGTCGAGCATCATACGGAAGCTTCGCTATTCCAGGAATCAGCTTAGTTGCTGTTCTCTCAACATTTTCCCAAAGCTTACTGTCTTTTTTTAAGCAGGGGCTAGTCGCTTGTATGCAGTACTCAAGTTTAGGACGTACGAACACTGTATACAAAGTCAAATACGTTTTAACGTCGGCATGAATAAAGGCCCTACGTATTGACCATAAGGGTCTAAAACCTTTGGCGGCTATTGCATGGTAATGTGCAGTAGTCTTTAAGTCTTGGCTAACGATGACTCCTAAGTCATTACGTGTCTGGACAACAGGTAGCTCAGTGTTATTCATCGTGTATGTATCCGTACCTTGATGGCCGATATGCATCACAACACACTTGGAAGTATTTATCGGCAACTGCCAGGTTTGAGACCATTCAGATCATTTCTTCAGGTCATTTTGGAGTTCTAAGCATTAACATTTACACCGTATCGTTCTCCATGCCTTGATATCGTCAGAATATATCAAGACCGATGATGATAGGAGACGAGGAAGGTCATTTACATACAAGAGGAATAGCATTGGCCCCAAAACTGTACCCTGAAGCACTCCCCTAAGCACAGTTTCCCAGCTAGATAACTTTGAGTTCACCCGTACTCTTAGTCGTCGACCTACTATAGCCTCTTGATTATAATGCCTTTGCGAACTTTCTGGTAGTGTGTTGTTTTTCTTGTACTGAGTTCGGATGTCGTGTAATGTTTGTAAGATTGAATTCCCCTCCGATTATTTTAAACGTATGTGGTTGATGGAAAACGACGAAAAATGTATTCGTCAACAATTTGTTTAAATTAGTACTAACATGCAGTGGATGACGTACAAATCTCACTAGTAAATTATTTTACCAGTCGCTGTTTTACTGCGAACCGAGCGCAGTCATCTATATCATCGATATATTTATTCTTAAATTTACATGCTTAAATGTTCAAAAAGGAATGGATAATTAAACCGCCTCTTATCTCATGTTTTATAACGAATCGCTAACAAAAGTAGTCATTTGTGAGTAGAAAATGAACAGATGAAGATTACTTGCACCATTCAGTTATAAACACATTACTGGGATCTGAAATGAAGAAGTGTCCGGAGGCAATTAATTTGGCTGAAAAGAAGAGGGTGATTGACTAAGTGAATAAAAAACTGAGAAGTGTCGTGAAGGAGCAAGGCAGACAGAAAAGATAATTATATGTAAACAAGTGGTCACTGAGGCGCAGTGACTGTTGAGGGTTTCCGAATGTGCTTATTTTTCAAAGCCTTCGTACGCTTTAAATCGGATAAATTTGGATTCTATACCTCCGTAGATCACCAATGTCGATGATCTATGTCGAATGATTGAAGGAAATGGTGTGACGAATCAGCTAACTTCGAAGTCACACCTCGCGGTAAGCATCTAACGTGGATTATCCTTTCGACGTATCAAAGTAATATGACTGCTTTGATGGCCGTATAACACAAAAGATGTTATTATGGAAATATATTGGTAAGAATGAGTACAGAGAAGATATCGAGACCACCACCATATGGGCCAGTCCATGGTATATGATCAAGTGATGCGCGTTGTTTGTCCTTGACCTTGTCGTGGATCGATGATCAGTTTGATTTTCAGTGCCACGACCACCAGATGATTCGTCTAGGGTTCAGTGACGTTTCACCGACACTACAACTCACTTATATTACATCACTCCATAAAACATGCATCTGAACAGATAGTTAGTGGCTTATTAAAAATGGTGAGATATTTGAGCTTGTTTCACATACCAGAAGTAATTTAGTGGCTGGTTCATCAAAAACCTCTCATGGCAAGCGATAAAGATGATAGAATGTCTTTACCTTATCGTACACTAGACGGTAGTTGACCACATATTAAACAATACTTTACGTAGTAACATATCTTTCTGCCACCCATAGGACTGCTTATCTCCAACATCATCTACCACTACTAGTAAACCTCTTTTGCAGTAAATCAGTAATTCAGTTTGAGAGTCACGCCGATTGTTTTCTCTGGGAAATTGGCTCTTGTTACCCCTTAAATAACCATAGGATTACCAGTGATTTACACAAGCAATGTTCATAATGTAACTTATTGACTATAAATCTAAGTAGAACCCTTGAGTAATTCACTTACGTTTGTATTTATTCCTACAAGGAATTATCTTTTAACGCATGTAAGATATTTTTGTCTTACCACTCAAGAATTTTTGATTAGGGATAACGAAATGTGTGTTGGGCTGAACCAGACACAGTTACTGCTGAGATATACTTCTCATTTGTTTTTCACTCCTTAAAAATGACGTCCATAAACTGATATTGGGCGGTCTTTCTTTGATTTTAATTAAATGTGAATTTGAAGTGGTCTAATGAATCACTACTAATCCAGGCTGACCTGGAATTTCAGCAAGGCAAAAGCAAGAACTGGAACTCAGAGTATGCAGAATGAAATTCCAGTACATTGTTATAAAAGATTTGAACGAGACACGAAATGTTTAATTGTACGATAAAAGTATCAGTTCATCACCACACTTGCCACACGTTGACTGTTTGCCTATATATCAATAATGTACCGTCGTTTTGTTTGAAATTGGATTGAACCTCAACGTCTCAGAGTTCTGATTTTCATTTTCTTAATCTCCATGAATTATCTA